AGATTTGCAAAGCAATAAAACTTAGCTGTGATAAAGGATTTAATTGTTAGGACGCTCGTCGCAGAGAAGAAGAAAGAAGCAGAGATGAAGAAATGAGAAGAAGACAAGAAGAACAACAACGAGAACTTGCACATGATATTGCTGGGCCATACGGACAGGTGGGCTGAAATGTTCTTTTGCACTCGTGGAACCACAAAAGTAATTCCGAATAAGGTCAAGGTATTCTGAAAACTTCTGTAAATTACTGGTCATTGCGAAATTTAGCTGTGGTAGCATGCATGGTGAGGAAGTGGAAGTGCAGAATCTATCCTGGTAAATCGAAAAAATCGATTTGGTATACTAAGTTCTAAAAAAAGAATTTCTATTAGTTCTGCTGTAGGCTTGCCGCTTGAAGTGTCTTCTTGATAGGTCCTTTGTGCCAAATTTGTGAATAATGAATTTTTGCCCCTGTCAATATTTGTGTCAACATAAAGAAGAAAAAGTCTTCGTGGCTCATAATTTCAAAATCCTAGTTTGGGTGGTCCTTTAAAAAAACGACTCACGTCTTATCAATGCTGAAAATCATGACTTTTCATAATGTCAACTGCTATGTAGCTCTCGGTTAGCCCTTTCCTTACGGTTACACTTTTTTGTGACCTATGACAACGTGAATTTGTCTTTTAATAAGAAAGAATGAATGAAACTCTTCACAATCGAAAAATCGCAACATCTGTCTCAAAGTTTTCTGGCCCATATCGCGCGGTGCAGTTAATTTTGGAAATCAGAGCAATTTTTTGTGACTTTTTTGGATATTTATCAAGGAAATGCCAAGATTTTACACAATGCCCAACTTTCCCTGCCATTGTTTCATTTCTTTGCAACATCTCAAGACCTGTACTTCAATCCATAATGAATAGTTTTCCATTGCCCTTAGGGCTGAAATCTCTAGAGGGCAAGTTCTTCCGACGCAAAGCGCATCTTTCATGCTGTGCTTTTGCAGGCGGTGTTCACACTTTCGGCCCTGCTTTACGGGTTCCAGTTTTCAATGGGTCTAAGCTTGAATTGTAATCGAAACTCATTTCCCTAAGGATAATGGGTGTTATGATATGGGGAGTGTCAACATAACGGTAGCCGCGAAACATGTATCACAAACATAAAAACATACGCTATTCCCGGAAGTTTCAGCAAATTATTTGATTGCTTGGCCCTTAGAAATCGGAGCTTTTCAAACTTTCAAACACATCTGCACTAAAGCATCGTAAACTGGCTGCAAAATACATCTGTTCAAGAGAGAGAG